TATTATTATTATTATACATCTTACAACATCCACACCAACGTTTTCTCGGATGGAGCAAATCATTCAGGGACTGCTCTCCTCGAGGAGGCCGACTGGTGCCAACATTACTTTAGACTGGTAACAAGTGAAAACATGACGGTTCACAAAAACGTTTGGTCACTAGCTTTCGGCGGGTTTCAAAGATGCCAAGCGGCTTTTTCACATGCACGCACACCCCCGTAATCATTTTGAAAGTTTATGCCATGGAAAGCATTTAAATTGAATCGGATTCTTTTAATGGGACTTCATCGGTTACTCCCTGCCCTGAGGTCAGTCACCATACAGCAGGCTAGAAATGCTTTCGTAAATAAATGCAAACTTTTATTCTCATTGTGACGAGCATTCTCTGACTCTTAATTGATCTTCAATTAATGTAGTATTATTGTTGCCAGTACAGTACTAACTTATTATTAACTTGGCTTTACAATGGACCCTCTACTTAAGGAATTAATCCGTATTGGAATGGTGGCTGCAAGTTGAAAAGTCTGTAAGTCGAATCTCCATTGACCTACAATGCACTGAAAACTGATTAATCCCATAACCAGTGGTTTTTATTCTATTTTCATTCCATTTTGGTTTTTTTCTGGTCTGTAAGTCGATTCTCTGGCTGCAAGTCGAATCTAAATTTTGCAGCCAGAGAAGTCTGTAAGTCGAGCCGTCTGTAAGTCGAGGGTCCACTGTACTGTTATTAGTAATGTTATCCTCATCAGCAGTGTATCAGAATACTGTAACTGTACACAGTATACTAGAGTCTATTCCAGTGTGATATTAGTGATAGGAATACTGTTAATCACAGGACATTTTGGAAGTCATCAATCAACAACAATAACAATTGGCGCCACCAAGTCAATTCTGATTTATGAAACCCTTTTCAGGATTTCCCAGGTAAAGAACATGCAGAAGGATAATAGTTGTGTATCCTTGCTCTCCTTAAGCCACCCCTGTTACAAATGTACTGTAATAGTAGTACAGTAATACTAGTAATAATAGTGATGATGATGATGATAAGAAATGTGTAGCTGTTTTTCTTGTTCTAAATAAAACGCTTTTGTGGACATTATATATGGTAAAATATATGATATAATAATAATACGCAATTGATACATAAATAAGACTGGTTGTTATTTATTATTATTACTGTTATTATTATTACTGTTATTATTAATTTCCTACACTATCACATGTGAGTGTATTCATTTATTATTAATAACAAGCTTGTACTGATATTATAATAATAACACGAGATCAATAATGTATTTTGTATAGTGTGTGTGTGTGTGTGTGTGTGTGTGTGTGTGTGTGTGTGTGTGTGTGTGTGTAGACAAGATACTGTATATAATATCGAATAATGTATATATTATTTATTTATTTCTTTAACTTATATGCCACCCACACTACCCGGAGGTCTCTGGGCGGCTTACAACATTATACAGTATATCGATAATAATAGTACAGTAATAATAAAATAAGAACCATGCCAGTCAGGGTAGTTTCTAATCGTTGTCCTTAAGGCACTCACGGAAGGAGAGGAACCGTATAACGGTAGCCGTTTACTCCCGCTATATACATATAGAGTAATAATAATTACAGAATCCCCATTGGCAATCTAATCAACCCCACCCCCACGGTTGGGGAGGGTCAGGGCGAAGGATGATGGGGAGGAGGATGCATAAGTCATTGCAAAACAATTAGCCAGCTCTGGCAGAGCAACTAAATGAATATTTATCATGAGTAACAGGTAAATAAATGAAAAAGAGTTTTTTGAAACCCTATAGTACCATCTTTTAGAAAATGTAAATCCATGAAATATAGGCTTTAAGGTTACTACATTAGTGCCAAACTACATAGTAAAGCTGGCAGGTAGACACATCCTGGTGTAGCAAGAAGTACACAGAATGTAGGTGCTTACCAAAACTGGTGGACGGCCGCTGGGCGGCGAAGGCTTCGGCCCCGCCGGACTCCGCCATCTTGGGGGCCGCCCTCCCTTCCTCCCTCCCTCTTCCTTCTTCTTCCTCCTCCTCCCCTTCGAGGCCGAAGGACCCTCTAAAAAAAAAAAACACCCGCCGGGTCGAGCCGGAAAGGCCTCTTTTCCTTTCTTTCTTTCTTTTTCTCTCAGAAAGTGCAGTGGGTTTTGTGTGTGTGTTTTTAAAGGATTAACCCTCTCTCCTGCTTCATGGTCACACACGCACTCTCTCACTCTCCCCCTCCAAAGGATCCCGCCACCCCAACCGCCCCA